GCTCGCAGGACTCTGACTAGGGGCAGGAGCCTTGCCCACTGTGGAGGGCGGATCCAAGGACCTCAGATGTCCAAGAAAGAAGCCACAGGCTCCATCACTCTCCTGGATGGGACCCGGTGAAAGTCTCAGAGCATGACTGTCCCTGGAGCGAGGACAGAGAAGGTGGACGCCGTCCCCGACCACACCATGCCCCGCGCTGTCTCGCATCTTGGTTGTAATTTGCAAGACGCTGCCGAGGGAAGATGCCGGGAGGCGGAGTGTTCTGTGGAGCATCCGTGGGGGACGAGCCTCCCCCCGCATCGGTCTGACACCAGGGCCGCCCTCTCTCAGTTGTGGAGGAGGGAGCGCTTCCTGATCTTGGGGCCTCCGAATGGAACCTTCGAGCAGACGGAGCGCCCGGGGCAGCCAAGGAGGCCAGGCAGCAGCTGCTGAGAGTCGGGCCCCAGAGGCAGAGCCCCCGAGGAGAGGAGTGACCTGGGGTGATGCTGTTCTTGTTGTTCTCGGTGGGGTGGGGGTGGGGGGCGCGAGCATCTCCAGATGCCCCTGCTCACCTGACTGTTCTCTCCAAAACGTCTGGAAGGAAGATGTGCGGAATTAGAGTCGATGAAGGAAAACAGGACGCGGTGCAGGGGAAGGAAGGGAGGAGCAGTAGCAGGGATGGGTCGGTCCCAAGGACGGGGCGATTGGCTGCTCTGTGGTTGCTGGGCTGCGAGAGCGAGCCTGTGATTTCTAGTAAGAAGAGCTTTTGGAGGAGACAGAAGTGACTGAAATTCGGGCCGCGGAGGGCATCAGCGGGGGAGCGGAAGGTTCTCAGAAGGGCAGACCCGAGGACGGAGAAGGCGGTGACCATGAGCGCAGCAGGGGCGCCCCGGCCCGATGGGGAGGGATGTCCAAACCAAATCAAAGAACCGAGGGGGCTCTAAGCAAACACGCACAGGACAGCTGAGGAGAGACCATTCTCTTTTGAGCACCCGCCGCTCCAGCCCCCACGACTTACCACCGTGCGGCGACCGAACGTGCACGAACTGGTGTCTTCGCGTGAAGACAGGCATCTGAGCATCCCAGGGAGCGATGGGAGTGGGGAACCGCGCAGGGAGTGCAAATGAACACACATCTGCTTTCCCCGGGGCCCAGGCAGCGCACAGAGCCCTTGCTTTGCTGAGTAGACAGAAGTCCAGGTGGTGCACACAGCTCTCTAGGAAGCGTTTCCATGGCACTGCCCACCCTCTCCCCGCTGCTGGAGCGTCCAGGGGCGTGGTCCTCACGCCCTCCTGTCCTCGTCCTTCTGTCTGCTCGGCTCTCCCACTCAGACGACAGGACAGGAATGGCGTTGGCTTTGAAGTCAGACCCGTCTGGGTCCGCTCCCAGCCTGGCCCCTTTCCTTGCAGCCGACACGGGCAAAGTACTTGCTGCCCCGAGTCTTAACTCCTTCTGGGGGACGGGGGTGACGGTCCCCAGGCAACGCCTCACCCCTGCTCTCTGTTGGGCATAACTAGACGGTTAGACCCGCAGGACTTCCGGACCCTGGTTCCCTCCCTGGCACTCGCCCTGCAAGGAGACCACACAACCCGCGGGGGACCGGGAGCTGTTCTCTGAGACAGCTCAGGTGCGAGGGAATGAGACCACACAAGCAGGTATGGAGCGGCCCTGGCGGAAAAGCCCGAAGTCCCCAGTAGGCGCCAGTGTTTGTCGTGACAGTCCCGGGCATTGCTTCCGAGGTCCCTGCCCGGGACAGGCTCGGTTACCACAGCCCTTGAACTCGGGAGGGCCTCAGAGCTCTGGTGGCTCACGAGACGCATACCTAGACTGCAGCCGCGTCCCCCATCCCGGAAGGGGCTGTTGTGGTGGGTGTGACCTCATAGCACCGCCCAAGTTCCATGCCCGTGTGGTTCCCAGGGCAGCAGAGCTCCGAGGTCGGCCGATCCCCGGGTCAGCGTCTCATGCAGAAAGGAGAAGGGCTGGGTCCACCCTTTCTCACCGCCCTCCTTGCAGATCTGTGGGCGGGATGAAGGGAGAGCCGGGTCAAGTTCCTGGCATGTGATGAGGCCTCAGTGCATGGTTTCCCACCCTTCACCCTGATTCCTCTGTGGCCGACGGCCACCCGCGAGGAGCTGGGCAGAGAAGCCCAGGGGGCAGACCCGTGTCCCGTCACTGTTGTTCTGCAGCATTTGTGGGCCAGGAGACCGGCGGTGCAGGGTGACAAGCCCTCCCCGTTTGCCTGGGAGGTGGGACTTCCGGTTTTAAAATGGGGGGAGTCGCAGGCGAGCCAGGACGCGAGGGTCCTCCTGGAGCACGAGGACTTGACCGCTGGCCCTACTTCACTCTGGGCCCAGATGCTCACGGGTGTGTTTTCCCTCCCCTGCACACGCTGAGCCGGGCGCTGTGGCATGAGAAAGGCTGGGTGCGTGCTGCTTCTGGGGTTAGCTCATCCGGAAGCACCCCCGCACTGTCTGAGGCGCTGTGGGGGGTGGGGGGGCTGCAGGTGCACTGAGTGTGTGCACCCCGCCCCTTGTCAGGGGGCCCTGGTTACCTTGGAGACACGAACGCTGTGCTCCAGCGTGAGCTCAACACCCTTCTGAGCAAACTCATGATCTTTCCTCCCATCAGCCACTCCTGCCCCCTTTCTTCCCCGCCCTTGCATCCTGGAGGCTGAAAGCCTCAAGGTCTCTGGCTCCTGCATTTCCCTCGCCTCCCATAACCAGTATGTGACCGGTGGAACCCTGCCCGACCGTCCCCGTCCAAACAATGACCTGTTTGTCTCGGCCTATTTTCTCACATTTAACCAGAACCTGCTAGAGGCCTGCCCACTTGGGGGTGCTCCTCCCTGAGGTCGTCGAAGCTCTCGGGGCTTCTGAAGACCCCAGACTCTGCCCCCCAGACTGTGCCAGCAGTTAGGTAATTTGTCCAGGATTCTGTCAGAGAAGCCACAGAGATGGGATTCGAACCCAGGCCGCGTGGCCCGGGCACCTGAGGTCCGAGCTGGCCCACTGTATCCCCTCTTGGCCAACACCCCACCCTGCTGCCTCTGGCCACCCCGTGTCTGTCGGAAGCCCTCTGGGCTGCCCCAGCACACGGGTCCACTGTTGTGTATGAAAACCAAAATGTATGAAAAACAAAATGTATGAAAAACAAAATCTGCCCCCAACCCGGAAAACGTCTCTACAGAGGTAAATAAGAAGGAAAGCACGTTTAGTATTGAATAAGTGTCAAACCAGTGACGTGCATCATGGGCAATTCCGCTCAGAGGTTTGCAAAGACAGAAAGGAATCTCGCCCCTTTATGAGCCAAGCAGACACAGTCCATTGCACACGTGCCCTCAAGATAAACACTACTCAGGTTTCAAATCAGAGGACCAGCACCGTCTTTAACGCACAAGTCCCCCTAAATCCACCTGGCCGTGGGGGTGACCCTCTGTGTTCCCTAATTTGCTTTATTCAAAGGAGAAGGAAACGTTTCTCATCTTTACGGCAGGCTGGTTTTGCAGTGTGGAGCCAGGCACCCACTGCAGTTAGGCCCCTCGCCTCCCACAGGATCTGGGAGACAGGGTTCTATTATCCTTGGATGTTTACATTCCAAAGCGATGGTCCCAGGGTCTTCAGAAAGACAACCCTGGGTCAGAAAGCTGCCAAAAAGCTTATTTAGCTTTCAAAAAGATTTACACATATTTCAAAGAGCCGAACAAAGCATATGCAAGTTTTCCTTAATGTTTATTTCTTTTTGTGAGAGCCCAAGGCAGAGGGGCAGAGAGAGGGGGAGACAGGGAATCCGAAGCCGGCTCCAGGCTCCGAGCCGTCAGCACAGAGCCCGACACAGGACTCGAACTCACGAACCCTGAGACCATGACCTGAGCCGAAGCCGGACGCTTAACAGACAGAGCCACCCGGGCGCCCCAAGCCCGGCATTTCCAGCTTGCACTTGCCCTTGCACTGCTCTGCATAGGGCTGAGCACACTGGCTGCTCTTCCTCCCAGAGGCCCCAGAGTGCTCCCTCCTCAGGGTAAATCGGACCAGGCCCTCCCTGCCTCTAAACACCCCTGGGACACCCCGCTGCCCACAGAGAGATGCCTGAGTCTTTGTCCTGGCGCTCGAGGCCTGCACTGATACGGCCCCGGCTCACCTTCTGTCCTCTGCCCTCATTTCTCCTCCAAGTGCCCACGGGGCTGGCCACTCCCTTCGTCTGTCCTGCCGATGCCGCGGGGCTTTGACCCCAAGGCTGCCTCCGCCCGCTGGAAGCCTGTGCTCAGGTCCGCCGGCTGGGGTCCTCCATTCCTGAGTCAACTGACCCGAGTCCCGAGTGGGCTCCCTCCCACAGGACATGCTTCTTCCCTTCGGGGCCTTGGTGCACTCCTTACCTCTCCAGTTTTGGATTTGGACCGGGTCTTGAATCCTGACTCCAGCACCTCCTATACGTGAGGCCTGGATGAGCTCCTCTACCTTCCGGAGCCTCTGTCTCATCATCCACAAAATGGGCACGATGATGCCCACCTCCTAGGGTTACCGGGATGGTTGGGCCGGCTAGGGTGACATGACCCAGAGCGCGGGCGATACCCGGAGCAGCACTAGCCCCCCATCCCCTCTGCCTGGCGAGCTCTAGGTCCCTGATTAACGTCTGCTGTCCTCAGAGAGGAGGCATAGAACTTGATTCACCACTGAGAATTTATATTTCTGACGGTCCTGCCCGGAAATCTCGTTTTATCTCTCTGTGCGCAGCATTAAGCGTTCAATTCCAGGTGACTTTTCCGCAACTTTGTCTTGCTTTGGGTGAGTTCTGGCATGCCAGCTTGTAAAACGAGAGGCGTTCATTCATATTGTATGATGTGTGTGCCAGTGAAACCCAAGGCCTCAGAAATACTCATAAATCATTCACCTGTTCTTGCCCTCCTCAGAGGGTGTTGTCCCACACAATCTGAAGGCACCGCGGCCTCCTGGAAATCTCCAGAAAGTCAGAGTCGCAGATCCACTTCATGGCATGAAGTCTTGACCCGTGAACTTTTGCACGCGATGGAGCCCGCAGCCAGAGGGCGGACTGAGAAAAGCTTCAGCTACGTTGTCAGAGCCCCCGGCAGCGATGGGTTTGATGTGATGAACGTTGACGTGAAGATCGACACGTGCTGGGTATTCCAGGACGTAGAGGACGGTGGTGAGGGGCCCGGCTGTCTTCCGGCAGCGGGAAGCCCAGACACGGATGCGGGCGTGCTCAGGAAGCAGCTGGAATCCTCAGAGCAGAAACTGCTGGCAGCTGTGGACAAGCACGTGATGTCGGAGTCCAGGCTCAGAAGCAGGTAAATTCGGCGTTTGCACCTCTTGCTTGTGTACTTAAGGAATCCGAGCCCCGTAACCGTGTTAGATCGGTGTGTCGAATCGTTTCTGTGGCCGGGGGCGCGGCCGGCCTATGCTACGCAGCCTGCCTGCTGCCTCTGCGACCCACACTGGTCCCCGCTCCCTCCCGTCCTCTGCTCCGCGTCTCGGGCTGAGCCCGCAGTCTCCCGGGCTCCCAGCTCAGGCTTCCAAGTGGGTCCAGCCAACGGGAGCCACCGCGGGGAGCCACCCTCTCCGGGTGACATCTTGGGCCAGCGGTGCCTCAGCCATGCCCGGGGTTCCTCTGCGGTCCTCCCCTGCCTGTGGCCCAGCGTCCCTGCTTCCTCCTCATGTGTCCCTCGGGGGACGCAGGGGCTGCAGTGGCTCCTGCCGGTTGCTTATCTCTCCGTTGTCTGGCGCGTCTGGCCTTTTAGCTCTTCCGTCACCTTCGCAGCAGACTCCCTGCACTTGTCCCTCGCTGCTGACCTCCGGGGGTGGGCTCTGTTCCCCTGATGGAGCCAACGTGGTCTGGAGGTTGGGCATGCGAGCCCGGCTCCTCCTCAAGGCCCGCGCTCTTTCCTGACCAGTTTCTGACACCGAGGCCCGCAGAGTGAGGCGGGGTCCTGCGTGCATATCAGGGGAGACACCTGGAAACGCAGGACAGCAGTGGCTGGGCTCCACTCTGACAGGTTCACCGAGATCCCAGCGGCCAAGTGTGTTGAATTTGTCCGGGACGTCACCATTTTCTTGTCTTTTCCTTCCTTTTAATAAAGGCGAGTTGTTCAATGTGTATTTACACGTGATTTCCTTTTTGTTTCCTCTCTGTAAAGCTTTTTCCCTGGAGAAACTCACGTCTCAGAAAGATTGGCTTGGTGCTCTATGTGATTGTCCACTCATTCATTCACTCATTCGCTCACCCATGATTCTACCGCCTGCACTCGGCCACCCAAGAGTCATGTGCTAAGTTATAGTAGTTTGCTCAGGCTGCTCTGAGAAAGTACCACAGACTGGGGGGCTTAACGGAGTCTGGGAGTCCAAGTTCAAGGTACAGGCAGGTTTGGTTCCTTCTGAGGACTCTCCCTGTGTCCTCACATGGTCATTCCTCTCGTGTCTGTGTCCTAATCCCCTAGTCTTATGAGGACACCAGTCAGACTGGATCAGGGCCCAGCCATACGACCTCATTTTAACTCAGTTACCTCTGTGAAGACGCTGTCTCCAAATACGGTCACTGTCTGAGGTCCTCAAATTCAACATACGAATTTGAGGGGGACGCAGATCAGCCCATAATATAAGCCCTGGGGGTTGAGACCCAGGGAAGGTAGGGCCCCGGCCCTGGAGAGAGTGTAACCCACACACGGTGTGGATTCAGATCTTTCTCCAGAAAGATGGGCAGTGAAAGCCAGAAAGTCACTGGGCCTGTGGAAAACAGTGGGAAAACGTGTGCCAAAGGAGATCCCTCCATGCAAGGGAGAGACGAGGAGCCTTGGGGGCACCATGAGCGATGCAGAGGAGGGGGTCTCTGCGGCTGGGGCCTGGGGTGAGGCCATCCTGGAGGAGGCATCCCGGACCTGCCTGTGTGTAATGCAGGACACGTCCTCTGTTCTCCGAAGGTGGGCCGCACCATCCTGCAGGTGCGGGGGACCAGAGGCTGGGGAGGGTGAACCACCTCATCCAGGGTCACTGAGAGCTGCCGCCGGGGGTCGACCGCACCGTGGGTTTCATCTTGCTAGGGTACGGTTAAGGTTGGTCTTTGGACTTCACTTGGAGGACAGAGCTAAAATTAAACAGCATTTATTATAAAAATAATGAGGCGTTGTTAGAAATTTGAGGAAGAAGAGCCCCTCCTATCTTTATTACCACATCAGTGTTGCCTGTTCATTTCCAACCAAACTGCAACAAAAGTAACAGAAGCTAGCTACTGAGTGCTTACTCTGTTCCAGGCACTGTTAAATCGCCTCTATTTAATCCTCACGGCGATACCCCAAGTGAGGTGATAACGTTATCCTCCATTTATAGACGGGGAAAGGAAGGCTTGGGGTAGTTAAGTGACCTCTCCACAGTCACTCCCATCCAGCCACGTGGTGGTGGGGGGTGGGACTGGGACTTGAACCCCAGTGGCCCCGCCCAGGGTGGTAATAGCAGCGGGGGTGGGGGGGGGCGGGGCGCAGTTTCTCGTGGTGCCCCTGGTTTCATAGCCAGCAGTCTGCAGCTCTGCCTAGTGATATTTGCATAACTGGTCGCAGGGGAAAATGGCACCTCATTGTCTATTTCGTATTCGTGGGCGTGTTTGTTTCCAAGGGCTGCTGAAACAAATTTCTACAAACCTGGTGGCTTAAGGCAACACACAGGGATGGTCTGACAGCTCTGGAGGCTGAAGCCCTACAGCGACAGCCCCCGGGGCCAACGTCAAGGCGTGGGGAGAGCCGTGGGGGAATCTGCTCCCTCCTCGCTTCCAGCATCCACAGCTGCATTCCTTGGCCCCCGGCACCTCCCCCCACCCACAGAGTCAGCAGATCAGCGGCTAGCTTCAGGGGTCACCTGGGAATCTCCCTCCGCTTCCCTGCTGCAAGGACAGACACCTGTGACGGCAGGAAGGGCCCACCCAGATGGTGTCCAGGCCTTTCACGTCATCACAGCTACAGTCTCTTGCATTTCAAGCTATGTTCACGGGTGCCGGGGATTAGAGCCCGGATATATTGCGGGGCCAATATTCAGCATGCCATGGGGAGATTAGTCATTTTCTGCTTCAAGTATGGGGATAATTACCAGAGTTAAATATTGTCTCATTTTTAGTGTTCTGGGTCGATCTCAAAAAATGGAAAGAGAGGCTTTTCTGATCCCTTTCAGATATCACATTTAAAACACATTTTTTTAATGTTTTATATATTTTTGAGAGAGAGAGAGAGGGAGAGGGAGGGAGGGGCAGAAAGATAGAGGGGGACACAGAATCGGAAGCAGGCTCCAGGCTCCGAGCTCTCAGCACAAAGCCGGACACGGGGCTCAAACTCACAAACTGCGAGATCGTGACCTGAGCCGAAGTTGGAGGCTTAACCGACTGAGCCACCCGGGCGCCCCCATATCACTACATTTTGTAAGCAATCGAGTGCTCGGCCTGACTCTGACTGATTAACCTGGGGCCATTCCTGGGGTTCGGTTTGGAAGGAACCTGATTACAATCCATACAAGGGGCGCACCCTCTTCTGTCGCTTACAAGAGCCTTCCCCAGGGCCTCAGGGCAGGAGAGGGGGCTCTTGTCCTTATTAGGAATAATAATGCATCATTTCATTTCTTCACAATAACCCTTCCGAGCCAGGCACAAGTGCCTCTATCTTACATATGCAGAGACTGTGGGTCACAGTGGGGAACAATCCCAGGTGAGGCCCCGTGGCTGGTCAGCGGCCGGGTCAGGGAGCAAAGCGGGGTCCTCCCCCCGGGGGCACAGAGTCTGTCCTAGCGGAGCAGGCCGCCCTGTGTGGCGTGGGCCGAGGAGTGAAGGTTGCACAGGTGTGGGCTGTGAACGCACTTCCCACGTGTTGCCTGGATTTCTGTCACAGAGGGGAGAGTGGCACATTAAGGGGACTTGGAAGCCAGGCACGAACAGGAGATGGGCAGTCTTTGTGGTTCCTGGGGTCCCAGCGGGACCAGCCTGTCCCCTTGGGTTTCTCTCCATTCTCCTGTGCACCTCCTCCAGACGGAGCTGCAGTCGGGGCTCACACCCGGCCTGCGATACAAGTTCCACATTTCCCCAGGATGATAAGAAAAGGCTTCCTGTGGCTGAGCCGTCCCTAATTATTAGGCCGTTTCCACCTTCTCTCTGTTGTAAGTAATACAGGATGAATGATTTCAATTGCAGAAAACTTTTTCTGAATTTCATTCATTTCCTCGGAAGAGATTTGAAAGGTTATAGGTCACGCGGGGGTCAACAGAGCGCAGGGTTAAGAAAGCATGAGTTCAGGAGTCAGACAGACTGGGCTCTAGGATGCTGTGTGACCTCGGGCAGGTTGCCCGGCCTCTCTGATCCTCCCTTTTCTTGAGGGTGAAGTAGGGGTAAGGCTGCTACTTACCCCTACTGCAGGCTGCTGACGTAGGATGGGTTGACACGACACAAAGCTCTTAGGCCACATGGCACAGCCCTTCTTTGTTGGTGTCGACTGAACTTGGGATTACGGGCTCAGGGATGAGAACGCGTTGAAGACTCTCGATGCATGGTGCCGTATTGTTCGACAGATATCTTGCAAGCGTTCCAGATCATCTTAAATACGTGTGAATGTTTCGCACAGTGTGATATTGTCAGAATATCAAACTGGCCCAATGACCAAAAAAAAATAACCCCATAAAACCCCCACAAAGGTTGGCCCCAGGGTCTGTGAAACTCTCCGGCCACACTTGCACCCTGAGTAAGCATCTTCCCGCTTCAATGCCGCAGAATCCAGGAGCTAGAGCTGTCGGAGAGACAGCTCCTCCAGAGTGTGGACCGGCTGAACGCCCGCGTGTTGCAGGAAAGGAGCGACGCTGCCCGGGCCCAGGAGAAGCTCCAAGCCCTGCGGGACGAGCTTGCCAGCCAGGTACCCTCTCCTCCCCCCTTGTTTCCGCTACTGGTTTCTCCATCCAGCAGGGTGACCCCATGTGCTTGGATTGCAACGGTGCAGGCGGGAGCTGCAGGGCCTGGGGCAGGGTCACGTGGTCTCTCTGGGCCTCAGCGGGCCCCATCTGTAAAGCGGGATCGCCGTCCTGCCCTGCCAGCCTCGCAGAGGTCCTGGCTGGGATCTGCGGGGGTGGGGGCAGGGGGCTGGCGAAAGCACTGGGTGACGTGCAGGGGCCGCGCACGCACCGGGAGCTTTGGCCTCAAGTTCGTTTCTGTGGCCCTTGGAACTGACTTCGGGGAAGCCAGCTCTGGCCTGGGGACAAGCGGGTGATGACTGATGCAGGGTCCCCAGCCTCAGGAGCTGGCACGCAGGTGGGGACGCAGATAGGAAACAGGTAACGCCCAAACCGGGCGCCAGGTGCCAGGAGGAGGGTGCAGGCACGGTGTGGGTGCATGGGGTGGGGGGCGAGAGGAAGCTACAGGAAGCCATCTGACCTGGCCCTTGTGGGAAGGGCACGTGGAGCGTGGGGAACAGCCTGTGCGCAGGCACAGAAGTGCAGAGTGCGTACCGGGGCCGGAGCAGAGGGCGTGGGCACGGGAGAGGGCGCTGGTGAGACTGGAGAGTTCCAGAAGGGCCAGGGTGTGAACCAAGTATTGACTGCAGTGAGGAGCAGGCTTTAGGAAACTTTAGCAGGAGAGGCTCAGGACGGGGTTTGGGGGAAATTATTCTAGATGCGTGGGAGACAGAGATGATGGAGGCAGAGAGACAGGTTGGTGCGTGGGACAAACAGTCGGTGGTTAAGGGGGTGGGCTCCAGAGGCAGGCAGCTGGTGCCAAGCCCTGGCTCTGCCACTCACTGGCTGCGATTTCTGGGCCTCAGTTTCCTCATCTGTGAAATGGGAACGATTATAGGACCAACCCTCTTGGACTGTCGTGTGGGTTAAGAGAGTCGGCACGCGTTAAACACTGACAACAGTCACAGTAAATAACAGCGGCTCCTTTCATGAATATTAATTAGCCTTTCTTGAAATATTCCGGGGGCGATGATGAAGGCTGGAGGGCAGGGCACGTGAGGAAATACTGCAGAGGCAGAAATGAAGGCCTTCCAGGACGGCCACAGGGGGCTCTCAAAGAGGCTGTTTCCGCTGATTGCCGCTTACGGCCCAGCAGCATGGTGGGAAACCAGTTCCCAAAACGGGATCGACTAGAAAATAAGAAAGGGCGCGACGTGTGTAAGGAGGACGGCTGTTTCGTGAGACTTCTGTTTCAGTGGCACACGTGTGCGTGGAAAGGGGCAAGCTGTAAAAGTGTGGGGAGCCGTCACAAAAGCGTGCAAAGCCCCGATGTCGGCCTTCACGGAGACAGACGTGCAGCACGGAAAGATAAGGGGTTCAGTTGAGCTGAAATTCGCCTTCGAAATGCCAGGGAGACATACGAGGGGCAGTTTTTGCTTTGCCCTCTGCGTTGGACTTGGGTGCAGAAAGTACAGTGGATTGCCCGTCTCAGCTCCTAGCACGCCGTCACTCACGTGAAAGGTAGTGCGTTGTGTGGGTTCCCAGCAGGAAGGATGCCACCTCTTCGTGGAAAATACTTCAATAAATATGCTTGGGGCCGTGCCCGATATACATGTAGGTTTTCCAAGACGAGTCAGCCACAGCCCTGCAGTCACGAGTCGTTCCCAGTGTGACGGGAGACAGAGGACGAGGGTGACAAGCAGGGACAGTGCTGTCAGGGGGCTCGGAGGCACCGCGGGACCAGCAGTTGTGTGGGACGCACGCCTTTTCTACACGCATCTCCTTATTACCGTCTCCTGTAACCCGTATGCTCCTGGGGAGACCGGTCAGGAGCCCCACTTCCAGATGAGGGGCACAAAGTCAGAGTGGTGCAGGTGCTCTGCTCAGGGACCCTCCGAGATCGCCTGCCCCAGCTACCACCCAGCCCAGCCCCCCTAACCCCGAACCTCTCCCCAGAGATGCCCACACTTCGGAGCAAGTTTTGTAGGGGTGCGTGCACGAGTTCTCTGTGCTCTTTATGCCCAATATGGGCCAAATGGCAGTTTTGTCCTGTTGCGTCAATGTTCCCAGGAAGCATTTGTGTGCAAAACCATCTCATTTCTGTAGTGACCTGTGGTCCTTCTGAAAGCCCATAAAGGCAGACCCATCTAGGGGATAACGCACCGCCGATTACGGGATAGCTGGGGACAGTTTTCCTCCTGGGGAATCGGACTCCAGGTTTCTCTGCCCCACGTCCCCCAAACCAAGCTGTCGAACAAAGCGTGCCAAGCGGTCCCCAGGTTTCGTCTTCTGCACACGCTCAGTTCTGTCTTCCACCAGATCTCCCTGCTGACAGCAGGCACGGGTGGCTGAGAGAGAGCTTCACATGGAAGTAGTTTGACCCCTTGTGATCGATTCATTCTGGAAACTGGGCCAGGACTCCCGGGGGACTCCCGTGACCCAGTGGTTGGGTCACCCCAGTCCAGCTCACAGCTCAAGGGCCCGGAGGGAGGCTAGGTCTAAGAACAGAGAGAGCTGTGTTCAGATACACAGAGGTTGGAATCCTGGCTTTGGAGACTGATGATGAAACAAGCCACTTATGAGCATCCCAAGGGGGGAGTAACCGTACCTAGTTCTTGGGGGGTATTCCCAATATGGCTGCTGTGGTTTGTCTCAGCAGCCAGAAGCCAGGGCTGGCTGACC